ATTTACAGCAATAACTGCAAGAGAATCTCAAAATGGACATTGTAACTGAACCACTCAAATGAATTTGAATCGTTTGACACAGTACTTGCATATTTTAAGGATGGAAGTCTAAAGTCATTGTAAACATTTTGTGTTTTTGCTCTGTGACATGATTTTTTTATAGTCCAGCCGTGTGATTTCACGGCCCCAGCATCCCTTAAGCTGTTATCCAGACAGACTCCAGTCAGTGTTTGCACCTCTGTTGCGATTTTGGGGAGTTTGGGAGCAATGCAGACGTGTAGCTTTATGATTCTGAAGGTCATCTGCTCTCTGACCTGCTCACTGAGTCAGAGAGAGACCTTTTCAAGTAAGGATGTCTTCTCTGCATTTGGCTGCTTGTCATTGGGTCTCCAGAGCTGGAACAGGACGGGCAGCAGATTTCTGTGCTATTGTTCACTTTGTCCTTTAGTATCAAGTGACTGTTGATGTAGTCAGCAGAAAGAGGCTGTCACGTCAAACTGATGCAGACGACAGAGAGAGCTTTGACTTTACCTTTGAATGAGAAAAGAGAACAGTATAGTTTAGTCAGACGTGATGGATGGTCGAGTGCTTTCTAAATAGTTTGTTTTGTGCGTAGTGCAGTTTCAGAGTAATGCAATATGTGTGAGTCGAGTGAAAAGAACTCATTTGGGAGTGTGAATAAAAATAGCTTTCGTGGGCATGTTTTTTTGATTCTGTGAAGTATTTGCCTTTGTTTTTTAAGAGCTGTTGTGTAAGTGAATGTGTGTGTAGTAGGTGATGTAATTTTGTTAGCTATAATTTATTTATACTTCTCTGCCTTATATGAAAATACATATTCTGCAGTCTCTCTTTCTCTCTCTCTTTCAGCTGATTTCCTGTTCATTGGCTGCTTATAGTGTTAGCGTCACTCTCACGTGCAGCACACACACACAGTATTCACTCTCCTATAATTTATCTATACTTCTTATATTTATTTATACTTGTACTGCCTTATATGAAATATTTCATGCAAAAAGTAAAACAGTGGGGAAAAATATATAACAAAGGTCTGAACCCTAGGACAAATCTTAATAATTTTAATTGGCATGCACCATTATTAAAATGCATAGTAATGAGCATCAATATTTTCAACAATTATATACAAATATTTTATAAAAACATTTTAATATAGACTGTAAAAATGATTGTAATTCTAACTATAAAGACTGTAAAATGCTACAGTAAAAACCTGTTAAGTTTTGTAAATATGTTAACATTTGTGTTGTATTTTACAGAATTATTCTGGCAACATCTGCCATTTTTTCTGTAAAAAATAACAGACGTTCATTTTACAGTATATTTTTATATATTTAATATACGTTAATGTATTGGGTATGAGTGATGGCACGACCAAATCATTGAATTGTTACGTTTTGAATCGATTCGCTGAAACAGACAGTTTGAACTGATTCAGTGGAGAGAATTTAACTAACTAACTCTTTTAAAAGATGCCTTTTAACTAGTCTGAACTAGTCTTATGAAGTAAGCTATTTTCAAGACTTCTGAAATCTGATTCATTAGCCATAAATAACTAGATGAATAACAAAGTGTAATAAACAGTAAAACTATTGGTGCTTCAAACCAGTGTGTTTACTTTTACAACAATACATTAAAATAATATAAGAAGTACCAGTTTGTAATATCAAGCCGCTAAATAACTAGAAGTGCATGAAAGCTGAAGCCTCGCACATTCAGGTTACAAAAGTCTGTGCCGCTCTTACATTGTAAATCAGGTGTAAATGTGTGTTTTGCCGCGCTGACTCACTGTCCCACTGCTCTCCTCTCACGTGTCACACAGACATTAGCATGCATTCAGCATCCTGCAGCCTCTCTCTCTCTCTCTCTCTTTCAGCTGTTTTCCTGTTCATTGGCTGCTTATAGCGTTAGCGTCACTCTCACGTGCAGCACACACACACACACACACACACACACACACACACACACACACACACACACACCACACTCACACACACACACACACACTCACACACACACACACACACAGTTATCACTCTCCTGTCAGTGTTTTCATGTGTTCTGATGACTGCACAGCATCACAGATTTGGTTTGCTCCTTTCACACTGGGACTGATTAATTCAGATTAGCTCTGTTTCTACATATTACATAGCATTTATTAGATTATATTGATGTAGCACACATCATTCCATTTAATATTCAGAATAGATTTTGTGTTGATATATACCATTGGTACTGAATACTGAAAAAAAAGACCTAAAAATTTTAATATCTAAATTAACTGGTTTTATTAAGGGTGCTTTCACACCTGGCTCGTAGTTTCGGAACCTGGCTCGTTTCCCCCCTTAGCTTGGTTCATTTGGGCATATGTGAACACGGCAATCGCGCCCGGATCCGCGCCAAAACAAT